TTTTATTTATTTGTCATTTTCTCTAAATACACCACTACTGGTTTTTATAAACACCTAATTACATTAAACTGGCCTTACACTATTAACTAATTATTGCCCTCTCTTAGTCTCTTTAACTCAACTGATCTCACTGGACCTTGTCACCTTCTGTCATTGGCCAACTGGGTGAGTTTTTAGTGAGTTTCATCACCTGTCCAGTCAGAAACTTTACTTTTACCCAAGCCTTTAAAGAAGAAGGAAGTATATTTCAACCTCCTTGAAATACTGATTATCTACTTCTTTATTCTTTTTCATCACCAGTTATTGTCTTCTAATAACTTTACAGGTTTAGTTATAGACAGATATAGTTTTCCATATTTCAACAGCTTTATATAAAACCCCATCTTTGGGGTTTTATTATTAAAGTTATCAACTGAGAATATCGTTTTTTTTTATATAACAACTGAGCTCGCTTCCCCCCTGAACTAGCCCGGCTACACACTCACTTGCTCATCTCTTGAAGACATTACCACCTTAACCACATTCATTTATGAGGAGGCCAACACGATGGTACATGCAGCAGATGTCACGGGATATGAAATCGGAATATACTTATCCGGACAGTGTACAGACGTTGTCATGAGAGCGATAACAAGTCAACAACTGATGACCTCCAGCTTACTTTCGACACAGGAAGAGACTGTATGGTTGGATTTATAAACAGTGGGATAGCATTGACTATCGTTTGGAATTTCAGACAAATTCTTTCAGAATGAAATAGTCGCCTCAACAATGAGTATTGTATTCATATTTTGTATATATCATTCGTCGAAATATAAAACACTGGCGTTCAACTAATTTAAAGAGAGTAATATGTATTGAAGATGTTAAACAGCAATCTTAAAATAAAATGAAATAAACCATTCAAAAATGAACCAACTACCCATTTTTACGTCTTGCCGATGATTCTAGATCTTAGGTAATGGTTATGACGTCACAAATGGTAAACGAATCGTGTATGACGTCATAAACACCTCCGGTCACTTTCCTATCTGCCCTCAATATATCTATAAGGTCTAAAATGGTGTTAAAGTTATTGGCATTTTCACATATTTATTGCAAATGCACTTTGGTGGCCATCTTGGATTTACGCTAATTAGGCCAAAAACCCACGGGCCTAATTTGGCCGAATTCGAGTATGATGATGTCTGAGATATAGCTAAACGATCCAAACTTCAGTGATTTCTTTTGAAATTTGTTTTAGATCACCCCCATTTTCAGATTTACTGGTCCCGTCTATCAGATTGAAATAAACTTTTTCCACAACAACTACAATCATTTAGGGAATCATAGACATAAGAACTGCAATTAAAGTAAGTGTGACCACTCTTGAGAACCTACCCATCTGCAATGGCTACCAGGAAAATAAACTGTAGACTGTATCGTGTCTACCACTAATTTTTTTTCAGTCAAGTCAAAAGTCAAGTTGACAAGTTTTTATAAAGTCAACGGTAATAACTCAACAAATGTTGATCCAATAATTGCAAACTGTGCCGAGATCTCATCAATATCAGTTTTCATTAGGATCATATAAAACTGTTGCCTCTGTCAAGTCGATAAAGCAAATCGGACGCGCTTTTACTAAGTCATGGACAAGAACTCAAAAACTGTTCATTCAATAATTGACAAATTCGATATGTCAAAAACTACAGCTAATTGTGTCTATAAAAATTTGAACAGGCGTTTGAACAGGGTCGACATTTGTATGTGGGCGGCGTTTAAAAAAAACCTCTTATATTCATTGCAATATTTGTCACGTCAGACGGCAAATTCTCTTACAATTGCAAGGAAAGTTCCAACTATTGTCACTATTCTTTAACGCCCGCAATAAAGGATCAAGGATAACTGTTAACTTCGTTTCTTTTTGGTCGAAAAGATTAATCTTAGATCATTTTGTATCAAAGTTAGCTTTCTATAACACATAAACGTTTCAATTTTTGAGACAGAATTTTCGATATTACGACAGAGTGTTAAGTTACAATATACAAAGGGAAAGTTACAGACATACCATCGGAAACTGTAAAGACAGATTAGAGTAATCGGACTTGAAAGAGTTAATCGGCTTATACTATCGCCAGACATTGGCTGGTTAGCATCAACTATTATTTAAGACGACTTACAGTAATAATTCATTTAACTTACACGACAAGTCTTACATCAATCATCGACATAGCTATTAATCTGTAATATTCCGTCCAAGATCCACTGACTAGATCCAATTTTATCAAACAGTTGTAGATAGAATAGTATGAAATCTTTAAGCCGCTTGTAATGTCACATGGGCACACATACGAACCGTGACCAAGAACAGTGCTCTCATCACCACCTCACACGAAATGGTAGGTAGGTAGATGACAAGTTAACGGTCGCTTCCAGCGGATGCTGATATCGCAAACTAGGTAGTTGTTGGTATTCGTAGTAGTTGGATTTGGATCAAATTGGATGATTCGTGTTATTGGTTTGGTTGTTGATTCTTCGTTAGATCTGGTCGGGTCGAATGACATGGCGGTGAAACTCGGCCCTGGATGGTGTGGCGTGAGTTACTCGGTCTCCTTCATTCTTCCAAACCCGTTCTGATCATGGTATTTCTTCTTGATTGGTAGTCGAATGGTAGTCGTTGGTTTGGTTTGGTTTGGTTAGATTATCTGTTATCTGTTGGAAAACAAGAAGACCTGAAAAAAAAGAAAAAAAAAGAAAGTGAGAAAAGAGGGAGGAAAGAGGGGAGGGGGGGGGGAGATTTCAACAAAAGGGGGAGGGATGTTCTCTGATGTTTCTGCAATGAAACTTG